CAGCTAGCTGCAGCTTGCGCTTTGGCTAGCTAGCATGGCAGCTAGCAGCAAAGGGTGGAGACACGATGTGAACATCTGTTGCTGCTGCTGCTGCTATTGCTGCTGCTGCTGCTGCTTCTGGTTTTACCAGCGCAGCAGCAGCAGCTGCAACAGCAGCAGCAGCACCACCACCAAGAAGCGCAAGCATCTGCACATCAGCAGCAGCTGCTGCAGCAGCAGGAACATGCATGCATGCATCCATGCATGCATGCATCTATGCATGCATGCATGCATGCATCCATGCATGGAAAGGGGTAGTACGCATACATACATGCATGCATGCATGCATGCATGGAGAGGGGTAATACGCATGCATGCATGCATGCATGGAAAGGGGTAATACGCATGCATGCATGCGTGCATGCATGCATGCATGCATGCATGCGTATTAGCCCTCTCCTGCCCCCCAGTTGTCTCTAACAACTAGGGGGCCCCTGGTGAGCAGCAGTTCTTTGGGGTTGGGGGGCCCCCAGCTGTGGTTCCTGCCTGGCTCCCAGCTCAGCCGGGGCCCCTCCTTTATTATATATTTATATTCTAAGCGACGCAGGCCTGCGGGGTGCACGCATATATATATATATATATATATATNTATATATATATATATATATATATATATATATATATATATATATATATATATATACATATATATGTATATACATATATATATATGTATGTATATGTATATGTATTTAGAGGAAGGAGCTGCAGCAGCAGAAGCAGCAGCAACAACAGCAGCAGCAGCAGCAACACAAAACACACCACCGGCAGCAGCAACACCAACAGCGGAAGCAGCAGCAGCACGACCACCACCACCACCAGCAGCACCACCAGCACCAGCACCACCACCAGCACCAGCAGCACCAGCAGCACCAGCAGCAGCAGCAGCACCACCACCAGCAGCACCACCACCAGCAGCAGCACCACCAGCACCAGTAGCACCAGCACCAGCAGCAACACTAGCAGCAGCACCAGCAGCAGCAGCAGCACCAGCGGCAGCAGCAGCAGCAGCAACAGCAGCAGCAGCAGCAGGTTACCGTTTGGTATGGTGAGAGTGGTGGTCCATACATTGCCTTCGCTCCACTGCATAGCCACCGCCTTCTCTATACACCACGACCCCACACACTTGTCGCTCCCCACAATGTATACATCCTCACCGAACTATAAACAAATAAACAAATAAATAAATAAATAAATAAATATAAATAAATAAATAAATATAAATTAATATAAATAAAAAGAAAGAAAAAAAAATAATAAAAAAATAAATTTTTATAAAGAAGAGAAACACCTCTATACACCACAACCCCACACACTTGTCGCTCCCCACTATGTATACATCCTCACCGAACTATAAACAAATAAATAAATAAATAAATAAATAAATAAATAAATAAATATAAATAAATAAATAAATAAATAAATATAA